TTCTCTCCAAGCGCCGAGGATACGGCCTGTGATTGCCTGCTTGCTATACACATGCTTCCTTCTGCCAGATTCTGTTCAGACCCCAGGGGCTGGGGAAAAGGGGCGAAATCAGATGGGATGTTCCTCTCATCTCCATTAAACTCAGATCAAGTGGGGGAGGGGAAGGGGGCATGGGAGGAGAGCAATTGTCTTCAGCGGATCGTTCCGACTGAGGTGGCTTAAAGGAATGCTTTGTCAACAGATCCGTCCTTATCTCGGCACGTTTCCGTGAGCGATGTTGTTGGACTTGGTGTGTTTTGAAAACTCTGCAATCAATTGTAATTATTATAGGTAGATGAGAGATGAGAGATAAAAATGATAGATAGATAGATAGATAGATAGATAGATAGATAGATGATAGATAGATAGATAGATAGATAGATAGATAGATAGATAGATAGATAGATAGATAGATAGATAGATGATAGATAGAAGATAGATAGATAGAGATAGATAGATAGATAGATAGATAGATAGATAGATAGATAGATAGATAGATAGTAGACAGATAGATAGATATAGATAGATAGATAGATAGACAGATAGATAGAAGATAGATAGATAGATAGATATAGGATATAGACAGAAATAGATAGAGAAACATACATCTCTATCTACCTGATAGAGATGATAGATAGATAAATTAGATAGATAGATAGATAGATAGATAGATAGATAGATAATATACATAGGATAGAAATAGACAAAAATAGAGAAACAGACAGAGATAATCCATAGATGAAAGATGATATAGATAGATAGATGATAGACTGACAGACAGACAGATGAGAGAGAGAGGGAGAGAATGAAAGGTATAGCAGAAGATAAATGATAGATGGGTAGAAAATAATTAGAGGAGAGAGAAGAGAAGAGAAGAGAAGAGAAGAGAAGAGAAGAGAAGAGAAGAATGGCTTTTATTTATAAACCACCCAGTCATTCAGGAGTTGGGCGTCCTATCCCTTAAATTCCAAAGCAAACATCCCTGATCCAAGCCAGGCCTCTGGGTCCAGTCAAACAAGACGGCCATTGTGGTCGCCCCATAGCTATTATTCCCCAAGAGATAAAACCTTTTCAGCAGGCCAAGACCACCACTTACGGAAAGCAGACACCGGCCAGTGAGTCCTGCGCGGCTCTCTCTCTCTCTCTCTCTCAGCTCTGCTAAATAAATAATTTGTGATGCTAATGCCCCAGGATTGTGGGGAGGGGGAAATGAGGGTGGAGAGCCAAAAGGGCCCCTGATGCAAGGAGGAGGAGGAGGAGGAGGAGGAGGAGGAGGAGGAGGAGGAGGAG